TAACCGATCCCAGGAGCTGTCTGATCTTGCGCCAGAAAGTTCCCGGCTCCCTTTTGTACTGGTTGGCCTGTCTCACTAGGGTTCTCCAAATGTGGCTCTTGTGGGTCAGCGTAAGGTCTATGGTTTCCCTTCTGAGTGTTTGTAGGGTCAACGCTGGTGGCTGGCCTGTTTGGTAGTGGCTTTGGCAGGCTCGCTGGTACACATTCATTTTGCCTCTGATTTCTCGGGTCGGCTTATATTGGTGGTAAGTCCTAGTGGTGGATATTTCACAAGTGGCCTCGGTTGCAAGCTGGATCCGGTTGTGGATGGTGTTTACTGCTTGGTCGATTGTTTGGGTTGGGAGGTTGTCGAACTCAAGGATGGGGTCGCCAGCAAGGAAGGTGTCATAGTCACGGGCACGTATGGTTTCCAATCTGGGCCTGGATGGTGCCACATATCTGAAGGGGGTTGCTTGGAGGGATGTGACCACAGGGATGTGATCCGACCCCACGTTCTTGCCTGGGGTTACTCTGCAGTGGAACAGGTCACAATCTCTGTTGGTCAGCACTATGTCAGGGGTGCCCCTATGGTTGCCCGCAAAGAACGTCTTAAAGTGGGGGCCTTGGAAGGAGAGGTCCCGGTTTTGCATTAGATTGAAGAGCTGCCTGCCCTTGAGGTCTGGCCTGTCAGGGGCGTTGAATAAGGCCTGATGGTGGGCATTCAGGTCTCCTGCGATGATAGTGGGGAGGTTCCTGTCGAGCAGCTTGTTCAGAGGGATGGAGGGGAGGTAGGCCAGTCTAGGTGGTAGATATGCGGTGCAGACAATGAGGGGGCCGTGTGAAGTGGTGAGTTCTATTGCAAGAAAGTTGTCGTCTTCTATGAGGATGGGGCGGTAGGAGAGCCCTCTTCTTATTAGTATTGCCACCCCACTGTACCTACCCCTGTTGACTTCCCTGGTGGAATATCCCCAGATGGAGATGTGCTGGTCTTGTCTGGCCGCTGTTTCATTGAGTAAGACAACATCTGGGTTAAGTCTGGCTACCTCCAGAGTGAGTAGGTATCTGTTGTTGAAGTAATGTCTGATGTTCACCTGAAGGATTGTGATCCCCATTATTGACTATGAGACGGAAGTGTTTGTTTGGCTGTAGTGCCAATGTTATTACATTCGGTTTGGTCGCTTCTGTTTGTGGAGGAGGGGGGTAAAGCTGTTGAGCCAGGTATCTTGTTCCTGGTTCCGGTCGGGGATTGGTTGGGTTGGGGTTTTCCATACGTTGCTGTGCCATTGGGGGTCTTCGGTGTCACTGCTGTTCATGATGTCGACATCCGTGGTGCTAGAGTCGCTCTCTGGTGAGAGTTGTGGGGGGTGCTTGCCCTTGCTCCGTCCACAGGGGATGGGGTTCGGCTGTAAGTGTTGGTCCTAGGCCTCTTGGTACAGCGTTGTGTGGAATATATTGTTGTGGGGCTGCGATGTTTGAAGCGAAATTTCCTAGGGCGGGATGGGGTTCCGTATGGCAAGGGAGTTTGTGATAGCTTGGAGGAGGATCTGATGTGGGAGTGTTTCAGGAAGGGTGGACATAGGTGTTTCCCAGAATGTCGGGGTGGAGGGGCCGGGGTTGTTCAGGGAGTTTGGAGTCTCCTGGGCGTTGGTTGAAGCCAGGGGGCGAGGAGTACTAGGGTTGGGGTTGTTGGGTTGTGCTTGGGCCTGGCCGGCGGTTGTTGTGATGTTAGGAGTCAAGTAGGCAAGCGAGTCCTCGGACATATGGACAGGGGGTAGGCCATTGTCTTTCCTAAGTGAGTTCCAGAAACCTAGGAGCTTCACTGGGTTGTCTGGAAATTGGATTTGAGCAAATGTTAGGAGTTCGGCCCCTAAGCTGGGCTTGGGATCGGGGTTTGGTGCAAGAGAGTTAGGTGTTGGGGCCTGTTGTGTTTGATTCTGGGTTTGCTCTGGTATAACCGTGGGGTTATGGGGGTGTTGGGTGCTTTGGTGGCCCCCTTGGGCCACCGACTGGGCCTGTTGTTGGTTAGGGATGCCCCAGGCATTTACTGGTGGAGGAGGGGCAGGGATGGTAATAGCTGCCTGTTGGCGGGCTGCTGTCTCCGTTTCATGCAATTGCTTGATTGCCTCTTGCCTGCGGGGACAAAGATGCGAGATTGCAATGTGTGGACCATTGCATAGAGCACATTTGGGTGTTGGGTTTGTGCATTCCCTGTAGCTGTGTTCCCCTGTGCACCTGCTGCACTTGGGGGTTCCATTGTTACATGCATTGGAATAGTGGTCATACTGAAAGCATTTGAAGCATTGCTTGAGCTTGTAAAACCTCTGTGGGTGGATTTTGTCAGGTTCAGCCATGATGCCAAATGCAGAAAGGCCTTGTGTGCAGACTTGCGTTGCTTGCTCCGGTGAAGCCAGAGTAAGTTTCAGTACTTGGTTGTTGCGTTGGGTTGTGAATCTGTGGGCCTGAAGTATTTTGACATCCCTGTTTTTCCTCTCTATTTCTGCAATTATTTCATCATTTGAGTGATCCATGATGATGTCATGGATCCTATGTACAAAGATGGTGCGTTGGGCTTGGAATTCGGCAGGGGGGTAGACAGTGATATTCTTCTCCCTTAGTTTGTTCATGGTGTCTGACGAAAGGAGGTCTGGGAGGTTTGCATTGGGTACCAACAAGATGGCTCCATTCGTTATTTTGTACACATTTTTGTAGGTAATCTGGGTGACCTCGTAGACCACCTCAAGTAGTTGGGCTGGGGTACGACCCCGGCCAGATTCGTCTGTGAATCTGACTTTGGTCGCCATAGCTTGGTGGGCCAGGCAGCCTAATCTAATCTATACTATGGTGGGTGCTGTGAAGTGTCCAGGTAGACTAAGTGGATGGTGGGTGTTAGTTAGGCCGAGGCCTCTAACTTCTAGTTGCTAGGCAACTAGAGCTACTAGACAAGGTGGTAATTGAACCTATCGATAGCCTAAGCCTGCTACAAGGCTGTTAGATGCCCGATCAAACCTCCGCAAGAATTTCAAGAACCCGGTTTTGGCTACCGCTCGGGAATGATCGTTTGGAATGGCGAAATACAAGAGGTAGAAACAGTTTAGAAAGACAGCCTTATTCACTCCTTAATTCTATGATTAGTAGGTTATGCATTGTGTATTGTGTGAGTGTGTGTGTGGTGTGTCTTGGTACAGGCAGGGAGAGAATGGGGAGGAGAGGGTGGGGAATGGGGGGGGGAGGGGGTGTGGGATGAAGGATGAGGATGGGTAGTTATTTTATTAGGACATCATACTGCTGTAAGCGTCAGTAGAGCTAGGTTGAGACACAGTACAGGTGCCCCGGCGTGTCTTGACGCCGAGAGAGCTTGTAGTCGACTGGCAGTGAGTGTGGCTGGCTGCTACGCGGCCGGCCGGCTGTGATTGGCTCGCTGGCGCACCAATCCTGAGTGAGGTGGGCGGAGCCAACGCTCAGTTTCTCCTGTAGGTGGCGGGAGCTCCTGGGAGCACGTCTGCTCACGGCGGCTGCTGGCTGGCGAGTCTTTTATGCTAGCGATGTAGGACAACTGTAGGCTTCGCAACCATTAAGAGAGTGGAAACATTTTGTTGCTGTTTGGCGCTCTTGGCGAGTGATCTGAATAGTTTTTTATTTGGTGTTGATAGTCCTTAGGGCGGCATTTTATAGGTATGCTCTTATAGACAATTTCATTGCGAACACAGTGATACCAAATTTAAATACGTGCGCCTTCAATTATTGTCAGGACAGTAAAAAGAGTGTACACTCTTTCGGTCTTACCGCGTAGGCGCGCGGAGTGCCGAAAGCATCTAGGGTATTATTTTTTTTTGAGCGCCAAGAGTGCGAAAGTGTTAATATATATACTAGTCGTCTTCCTGTGCTATTTCTCATCCACCTCATCTTATCACAGATTCACTTGACTTCTGTGCATTCTTCTCATATCTACTAACATCCATTTGTTCAAAATGCCTCTTCCATTTCAATATGCTTTTTCAATCTTGTGGGTTATGAATTTTCCACTCCATCTCTCCAAGCAATTTGTATTCCTTACTCTAACTTTTCTCATAACACCAAACATCCTTCTCAGTATGTTCATTTCCCATTCTCTAATTCCTGATTTTTCACATTCATACAACACACTCTCCTTTGAGCTGCAAATCAGGCCTAACATTACCACTCTTTCATGCAATGTTCTAGTTGCATCTCTTCCTATTTCAATTCCAGACCTTCATTGTTCAAGCCAATTTTCCTTCCCTGACTCATCTCACTCTGAAATTATTTTTCACAAATTTCTCTTGCATCAATCATGTGAATGATACAAGAGAAATTTATACAGAGAATTTAGTTTTCATTCAACTACAATCACCTTAACTTATTGTCAACACTCATTTTTGTCTTCTTTAACACTTGATTTATTGAGCCTGGCATACACCTACTTTAGTACAAAACCAGCTACTCCTCATTAAACCTTGAACTCTTACATATATACTACCACTTATATACATATTCTGAACAGCATTTACCACAATTTAGGCAACTCGACCCCCATGCTTTTCATTTTTTTGGAGTCCTTTACTATGAACTTTGTCATATACTACCTGCAAGTCCATAAACACCATGTACACCTTACAATCTTCCTCACGTGCCCGCCCCATAAGCCCTCTCAATACAAATATTCGACCAACATAACCTCTTCTACCATGGAACCTTCCATGCTCATCAATGATTAATTTCTCACCAGTTTCATGTACTCTTCCTCTCACCATCCTCTCATCTTCCAACAAGAAATCTTTGGATAAGAATGACAAGCAAATGTGTGCAATTACATAAACATATACGACAATACAGTACAGTAACAGCAAAATAATAATAATACACTGTAATAATAATAAATAATAATAATAATAATAATAATAATAATAATAATAAATATTAAAAATAATAAATAATAATAATAATAAAAATAATAATAATAATAATAATAATAATATTAATAATAAAACTAAAATTTTCATGCAGGTAACACGTCCGGATGTGAGAAGAGAAAATACTTCTATGCTCGGCTACCAACCTTTATCAGCTATACCTATGACCTATGAAACCCATTCTGGAGATGATGTTGCTGCCTATGCTATTGGTAATACAGTAATCTGTCGAAAACTTGACAAATAGTACTGCCTAAGATATGCAAGGCTTAATATTTGGTAGTGTACACATACAGTACATCATAAATTAAACAATGAAATTTGCATAAACAAAGCAAACCTATTAATTTCTGATTTTCATTTCCAGGACCGATGTCTCATCTGTTGCACAGAATGCATGAGCAGAGCTATGTTGCCCATGTGATGGGTTTTGCTGCCTGTATTGGGCCCTACACAGGCAACTGTACACGCCCAATAAATCAGTGGGGAACGTAATGAAACGTCACTTTCTGGGTGAGACCCGGAGGCTCCCCGGAGCTATACCGAGCTGATGTATATAAATTAGACCATGGCAACAGTCAATCGATGGCGTTCTAGGCCTATCAGGGACCAGCGCCAGAATCTAGCCCCCCTCAGAGAGGCACGAGGAGCAATGACCTAAAGAAACCCCCATGTAATTGGAAGCAGTCTATGTCTGCCATTTACCAGGTCAGGCACCCAGAAAGGTAGGAATTCCAAAACAAACTACAGTTGGTTAAAAATTGCAAACCGAAAGCAGAACAAGCAAGCAGAACTCTCCAATAAAAAACAAGCAAACAAGCATGATGTCACCACAGCTGCCGCCCCGCTATCTGCACAACTCCCGTCTCCCAGGGAAGGGGATGGGGGAGGGGTCCCCAGACCTCCCGTGCTGACTACCCAACCCCAGTTCAGAGGCCGCATATCAAAAACGCGAAAAAATGCCGAACGGAGGGAGGGAGGGATGCTGGGGAGCCTCTGGGTCTCACCCAGAAAATGGTGTTTCATTACACTCAACGCTGGTGTCACAACGTCCCCAGGGGAACAGAACCTGCCGCTAAGCATATGTCAGAATGCGGCACAGTACCTTGCGCCCCAGCCAGCAACGATACTACCTCCTACCCAAGGTCAAACAGGATAAAAACAACCCCCGCTGACCCCAAGGGCGGGCAATCACCGAACAGCAAAAGAACCACGCAGAGGTAGTCTCCCGAACAGCTTATGGAAGATAACCCTAAACCATAGGGGCAGTACTTACAGGACACCTAGGGAAGGTGGCCCTAGGCGCATGCAGCCCAAAAGGATGGAGCCAAAGTCGATTGACTGCCACAAAACACAACAGCTTCTGAACTGGGGTTGGGTAGCCGTAGCGGAAGGTCAGGGATCCCCCCTTTCCCCCCTCCCGAGGAAAAGAGTTGCGTAGACAGCAGCACAGCGGCTATGGTGAAGTCATGCTTGATTGTTTTCTGATTGGGGAGTTCTGCCTGCTCATTCTGCTTTTGGTTTGTAATCTTTAACCAGTTGTAGTTTGTATTGGGATTCCTATCTTTCTGCATGCCTGATCTGGTAGATGACAAACAGACTGCTTCCAATTACACGGGGGTGTCTATAGGCCATTGCTCCTCATGCCTCTCTGAGGGGGCCAGATTCCGGCGCTGGTCCCCATTAGGCCTAGAACTCCATCGACCGACTGTTGCCACGCTCTAATATATAAACATCAGCCCGGTATAGCTCTTTGAAGCCAAAGGGTCTCTCCACAGAAAAATATCTATGATGAATCCAGCATACTAAAACTGATATCAGGAGACAGCTTTACTGACTGAAAAATATGTTTCATCATGTGTGCTTTATCAAAGAACATGCATGCAGCCCTCAATTTGCATGAGGAACATGTTCCTGAAAAGCCTTCCCCAACATAAGTTTGTTTACAGAAAACTGTCAGGAAAATATTTTCTCCAATATTCTCTCAATAAAACATTTAATTATTACTGAAAACTTGTGCATATTTTCACGCACGCACGCACACTGATAATTGTGGAGTGTCAAGATCAAAAGATAAATCAAGCTCAATAAATCAAGATTAAGAATGATAGTACCTGGATGGGATTCTGGGAGTTTTTCTACACCCCAAGCCTGGCCCAAGACCAGGCTTGACTTGTGAGAGCTTGGTCCAACAGGTTGTTGCTTGGAGTGGCCTGCAGGCCCACATAACCACCACAGCCCTCTTGGTCTGGCACTTCTTAAAGAAAACTATCTAGTTTTTTCTAAAGGTGTCCATGTTTGTTCTGGCACTCCCTTGCCGGATACTTGGGTGTTGTGCACCAGGAGTGTCAAGGTGAGAACATGATACTTGGGTGTTGTGCACCAGGAGTGTCAAGATGGGAACATGATACTTGGGTGTTGTGCACCAGAAAAATGTCTTTCTTCTGTGATTAATACTCAAAATAACATACAGGCAAATCTACCCCACGTGCTATTCAGACCTTAACCCCTGCACTGCGCACCTGTTTTTGGCAAAAACTTCATAGTGCAATAGTTAAGGACATATTTTTGTTGTTTTTATATATGTTTTATATATGTTTTTTGTATGTTTTTTGTTGGCCAGGTACAGTTAATGTCAAAATGTTTCCAAACTCAACTATTTTCATTTCAAAACACAAAGAGTTATGAAAACATTAAAAAAAAAAAAATATAGCCTAAGTAAAAAAAAAATGCACAACTCTCAAAACGATATTTGTTGTTTGGCGCAGTGCAGTGGATAATGTAAACACAACAAACAGATGTGAATTAGTGTTAGTGAAACTGAGGCAGATTGAGGGCCACCTCTACTGTATAGTCTTTTTATACCATGTAATGATTTATCTTTTAGTTTGTTTTTATGATTTATTCAGCACCTGATGCTGCTGTTTCCATGTTATATTTTAATGAAAATAAAACAGTACAAAAATACTTTTTCATAAAAACTATATAAAGTTAATAAAGGATTTATATTTCACCTCTTAATTTGGTATTTTCCTCTGCATGTCCACCATTTTTTTTTTTAACTTGACTAAGAACTAATTTATTTTAAACAAACATTCCATCACAGCCATAGCTAGTTGGGCACAGACAAACTATGGCAGTTTATAACACTGCACTCACCCCGTCGTGCTTGCTGTAGTTGAGCTTCGGCTCTTTGGTCTCGCCTTTCAACTGTCAATCAACTGGTGTATAGATTCCTGAACCTACTATACTCTATCACATTTATATTTGCAACTGTGTATGGAGTCAGCTTCCACCACATCACTGCCTAATGCATTCCATTTGTTAACTACTCTGACATTGAAAAAGTTCCTTCTAATGTCTCTATGAATCATTTGAAGTCTGTTTTGATTCACCTATCCCTCTTGGTTTCTTTCCTGGTTGATGGCAAGATGACCTACTTTAAATATAAAGTGTTCATGGCCATTGCTCCCTTCACCTCTCTTTGGAGGAGGGGGGGGGGGCAGGTTCTGGCTTGTGGTCCCTGGTAGGAGTACAAAGAACTCTGCAACTGATACCACTAAAGTAGAATGCACTTGATCAGTTGGATAGCTTCAGAAAACTGACAGGGCTCCCCACAGAAAGCACCCTTTCCTTTTAGGACTCCAAACTGGCCAGGACCCGAGCAATGACCAGATGAGGGAGAGGTACAGGAACCCCCACCTAACCAGTCCAGCCAAAAGGCATCCACGGTGAGAGCCTTGCAATCAGGGAATGGAGTCATGGACATAGGATGGCACCGATTCCAAGCAGATGCAGAGGTCCATATCTAGGTGCCCGAACAATGGTCAATTCCATGGAAATGGGGAGGAACCGAGACAGACCATCTGTGAGAATATAGGGCACATACCAGACATGAATGGTGCAGAGGGCCAAAACCCTGAGAACCCAGCAGACAAGCTACACAAGGAGACCAGCTTAAAAGAGATAGGAGCTGAAGAGATCCAGCCACTTCCCTAGTGTGAACCACGAGAACCAAGTTGGGATGGTTTAAACGAGCCGGGGCATGGAGGCCAGAGGAATCAGAATCCTCCAGAGTGCATGGCACATGGCTGTAAACTCTCAAACCATACCATGAGCCCGATGAAGGAGAGGAGATCAACAACTCAAGCCGATTTGGTGAGTGCTGGCCACAAAGCCCCAACCCAGAGCCGAGGTATCTGTGATGATGTTGAGTGAAGGAAGGTGCCAGAAAAACAAATCTCAAAAATCCCAAAGAGAAAGTTGGTGATGCAGCAGCTGGCACTGGCCAATAAGCCCTACATCCAACAGTCATGAGAGCAGCGTAAGGGACTGCCCCAGAAATACCAGAATTGCCGCCAAAGCCACACCTTGCACAGAGGAAAAACAAAGCAGGCAAAGCTCAACCTCCCACACAACTGCTCAAGCAACCTCCGAGTCACCCGGGACTGACTCAGCATCAACAAACAGTGGTACTGCAGCCAGGTCAAGGCTGCTGGAGGTAGGAAAAGCAATGCTGACCAAGAACCTCAAATAAGGCCAAGCCAAGTCCGAACCCGGGATACCATCAACTGGGACTTCGACCAGGTAACTAGGACACTGAACCCAGCAAGCAGGGAAACAACCAGAATGCTGACTAACAGACATTTGGACCAGCTAGGAGCCCACACCAGCCAGTCATTGAGGAAGGCCAAAACACAAATCCCAACTCACTAAGACAAGCCACAACAACTCGAGCAAAGTGTGTGAACATGCATGGAGCCAGATTCAAGCCAAATGGGAGAACCTACAAGTGGCAAGGTAGCTGTCCCACCACAAAACCTAGTTAATCCTTGAACCCTGGACATACAATGGAGCCTCGATTAACGAATTTAATCCGTTTCGGCACCAAGCTCGTCATGTGAAACGCTTGTCTTTCGACACAAATTTCCCCATTTAAAATAATGGAAATAAAATTAATTTGTTCTACCGCCGAAAAACATCAATATGATATTCAATTTTTTAAAGAATGGAGCAGCCTACCTGACATACACTGGACAAACTTTTATGACATTTTTCCTTTTTACAAATATGTTAAAAAAAAAGTTTGTTTTTTTAAGAAACATGGAGCAGCCTACCTGACACACTGAACAAAACTTTATGCCATTTGTTATTTTTTTCAACTTTGTTCACCTTTTTATTTTTTCATTTTTTAAAAGTAATGAAATGGCATTTTCTGGGTGAGCCCCAGAGGCTCCCAGGAGCTTATCGGGCTAGTATATGTTATATTAGACCGGGACATTAGCTATGGAGTTCAGACCTAACAGGGAACATGAGCCAGAACCTGGCCCCTTCAGAGAGGTTTCAGGGAGCAATGGCCCTGAAAAAAACCCTGTGGTTGGGGTTTTCCTTATATGCCATCGACCGGGGTTAGGCATCCAGAAAGGTGGGCATAACAAAACAAACCCCACACGGTAAGAAACTAAACAAAAAAAACAAGCAGAAGTAGAAACTCCCTACAATCCCAAGGAAACAAGCAAACATCACACTTTACTGCAGCGCAGCCCTCCCCTCCCCGAGAGGGGCAGGGAGGGCCTGGACCTCACCGTGCCGGCTGCCTAGCACTCCAGTTCAGAAGCTAAGCTGCAACCAATGCAAAAAAATGCCAACCGGTGGGAGAGTGGGTTGCCAGAGCGCCTCCAGGACTCAACCAGAAAATGGCATTTCATTACATTCAATGCTGGTTTTCTGTGAGGAGCCCCTACAGCTCCCTGGAGCTACATACTCAAATAGAAGGAAAAGAAAGGGCTGACCCAGGAGACGGCCACCACAAACTCCGCAACGCGAAGTCGAGACACCAGGCAACAACCTGCGACCTAAAGCAACACAAAAATGCCCAGGAGCAGACACACTCACAAATTAACGGGCGGCCAGGAACCTGTGCGACCTCCAACCGAAATAAGCCCAAGACATGTTACCAAACACGGTAGCGAAAGCTGCAAAACATCCGAACGGCATGGGCGCAAGGATAGACCGCACGCTGGAAGACTTTAGAACCCTGCGGACGACCTGGGAGACCCAAGCCTTGGAACAGGAAACGAGGGAAACCAGGTCAACCCAAAGTGCATCCCCAGCTACGGCACGCAGATAACGGCGAAGAGCCGCAACCGGACAACACATGACGCACCCCTGGCCGAACCAACCCAGCATCAATAACCCAAGGACTCCTCCGAAAAGTAGCCGTCTCGGCCTTCGCCAGAACGACGGAGAAGGCTGCAAATGTACAAACCTACCAACAGTATCAAAAGAGCAGAAACCCCTGCGTCTTAGGAGAGCCGGAAGCTCCCCGACCTGACCCGCAGAGGCCAATGCCAACAAAAATATGGCCTTTGAAAAACAAACTTGAACCGAAGAGCTACCACAAATCAAGGAAAGATAAGCGATCACCCCTGACCAAGGACCAGAATGGCACAGGCGGTGCATGAGCAGGCAGGAGGTGAAACAAAGCTTAGAAAGCATATGGAATGGGGGCGGATGTGACGTCCATCCCGAATGCAAGCCAGAGCGGCTCCGCTAGCTCTGCACGATACGAGGCAACAGTAAGAAGCATCAATTAACGGTTTTGATAAACCAAGAAAGGACACGACAACCCAATGCGAAAGAGAAGACAACCTACGAAGAGCAAGAAAAAAGCGAAAAGAAATGCCAGGAAACTACTTACTATCATCGAGACGAAGCTCGCAGGTGGGACACCATCAACGAAGCCACCTGATCACCATAGAGATGGTGATACACCCGTGTCAAAAGACCAGACGCGAAGAGCTAAAGGGAAGGCCGAACCCTCATTTATTATCCAACTCCTCCTTTGACCATGTGTTGCATGGCAGTGGACTATATACATTTATGATCATTAGGTTATCATCCTGATTGCAGATCTCTAGTGCTATTATGTCAACTTCTCATGGATTGGCAATCATTATTTTGTTTATCTGTAAGTGTTCTTTCACCAGCACAGCAATGCCACTGCCTTTCCTAATTTTTCTGTCCTGTCTCCAAACAGAGTAGCCCCCATGGGAATATGACCTAATTTAAAATATCATCAAGTTTCGTCTCCGCGAGTGAAATAATGTGTCGTCGGCAGACAGTATTACAGCCGTCGGCAGCTGTATTACATCACTTAACTCCAGTATCCTTGATCTCACTTATTTCTTATATTTGTGTATCTTATATTTATTTGTGTGTGTGTGTGTGTGTGTGTGTCTGTGTCTGTCTCATGATTCAGGGCAGCAAACTTAGGTGGTTGTTTACTGCAGGAGTTTAATGAATTATTATTATGGTTTGTTATTATTACACTCCCAGACCAAACTGTCAAACCTCAACCTTTCAATTTTTTCCATTCTTTCATTTACGAGTCCAACCCCAGGCACCTCCACCCACGAGAGACCTATGTAGTTTTTTGGCCAGCCACCGAGTTGTCGTGGTGCAACTGGTGTTTTGTGTTTACCTGTGACGGACAAAACCCTTCCATTCTTTACCATTTTATATTTGTGCATATTTTTGGCATCCTGCTACTAGTGCCTCAGGAAAGGCAGGAAATACATTGTTTAGGGCTTCAACAAGCAGTGAAGTCAAGCAAAAACATGTTGTGATGATCTTTTATGAAAATATTGAGCTTATAAAGGAAGATGAATCTGGAATGTCTCCTGTGTGGTCTGTAGAATTACCCAAAGCCACCCAAAGCTACCCAGCATATATCTTAGCAAATAGTAGCTTCAAGCAGCCACAAAGGGTTCCCTCAAGAAAACTTAATATTTAAAGTAAAAACAATTTTTAACGAAATAATGCATCCTTACCTTCAAAACAAGTCCAACTTGAAGGTTCTGCTTCAATTAGAAACAAAGTTATGAATTCTTTTTGTTCAGCTTTTTTTTTATCACACTAGCAACCCTGCTGTATGAATATTATGCATCACTGAATACTAATGTTTTACATATGTTACTTCATGTACTCTAACATCCTACCAAATTTCACGTAAATCTGAGATGGTCAAGTTCGAAGCCATGATGATTTGGCATGGAATGACTCAATATGTGTGTTGCAGTTACCTTTATTCTTGTGTTCTTAAGCAGCTGATAAATGATACCTTTACCCTACTATACTGTACTTTTTCCCAAGAAGTTTAGCAATTTTCTCTTGTATGTCAACAAAGTTTTCCCTAATCTATACTATTTCTCTATGTATTTTGTGCTATCCTAAATACATCATAGGCATAATGTACATAAAATGTAAGATATAGTGCAGTACACCATTTATTGCCGTCATACACAAATTTCACACCATTTCTGGCATTCTTACATTGACCTGCAGCATGAATCTATCCATAAAATATGAACAACCAAGGAGACATAACCCTCGAGTATTTCTACATTAATATCACTCACTAATAACATTAGTAACTCCAACATATGTTAAATTCCTTCCATAAAGATTTTCACAGTATTTATTACCATTCTATTATATTCCACATACAGAATGTTCATCATTCTCCAGTCTCACTCGAGACCCTTTGGCATATGTTTCCTCAAAGTCGTTGAATGCCATGTACATACAATTTTTCCACTATGGAGCCTATTTTGTTCATTACTAAATCATTTGTATTATTTTTTATACTCTTTCAGTTATCATTTTTACCATACAAAATTGACCCTACACTCGGTAAACAAATTATAATATGAAAACACTTTCCATAATTTTGACATCCTTACAGAGATAAAAACCTACCTTTACCGTATGCAAGTTAAACAGCAAACCAATGTACTCTTGCAGTCACTTTTACAGCTATTTTTAGAATATACCAATAATTAAGCTTCACTTTACCTGTGTCTTCATTTGCGCGGACACCCGTCAATTCACTGAGAAGGTGATCGGCAACAGATGCATTGGCAACAAGACGATTTTGGTACATAGCTGATGATGCCCACTGCATTATGAGGTTGTTCATACGGTACTGAACAGTCAGCATTCTTACAACATCTTCTCCACACTCATCTGGAAAAATTTCAGATCACGTTAACATAAAGGCAACACATGCAAATATGGATGTCTCTGAATATTACACCTATATTTACTGTATTTGCAGAATATTTTAAAGTAGACTGCAGGTTAACAAGGCAGCCTTCATTCAGTAAAAAATCTTATACTGTAATTGAAATGCTGCAACATAAAAAAAAATCTGTAACATGGAAAATAGCTGAATGTACTGTAATTTAACCATCAACATGCTGGAGAAGGAGTAGGGGGGATGGGGGAGATGAGCATTTGGTAGAGCATGGGGGGTGGAGGGAGGGAGTCGAGCAAACAGGCAGGTGGGTATTCACCTAGTTGTGCTTGCAGGTTGTTGAGCTTTGGCTCTTTGGTCCCTCCTCTCAACTGTCAATCAACTGGCCTCCACCACCTTCTCACTTAGCTTGTTCCAAATGTCTACCACTCTATTTGCGAAAGTGAATTTTCTTATATTTCTTCGGCATCTTTGCTTAGTTTAAATCTGTGGAAATTTCACTTCCTGTCAAGAACCTCATGCTCTTGAAGTTCCAGGTCTCAGGAAATCTTCCCAATCAATTTTATCGATTCCAGTTACTATTTTGTATGTAGTGATCATATCCCTTTTTCTTCTACCTTCTAGTTTTGGTATATTTAATGCTTCTAACCTCTCCTCGTAGCTGTTATACTTCAGTTCTGGGAGCCCCTTAGTGGCATGTCTTTGTACCGTTTCCAGTTTGATGATGTGCTTCTTAACACTTTCGCCCGGGCATGACGCAGCATTGCGTCATCCGTTTATTGTCGGTAATGCCGGGGATGACGCAGCATTGCGTCATCCACTTTAAATAATCGCCAAAAATCAGGTTTTTATCCGATTTTTGGGGGACTGGTTTTAAAATGCGCGCCGATGTCTTCCCATTTTCTTTGTTGAGCCTCGTGGCCCTCAGGCGGCTGGGCACACGCCGTGGGCCCATTGTTTTCGCTCCACTGTTGTGACCAATGTCGCCTCCCCCTTGCATCTCAAACGTGTGAACATTTCGGCTATTTTCTGTGGCTATATTTCTTACTGCGGCTTTAGAAACTATCTACGCTTACTCCACCATGGATAGTGATCATGAACAAGGCCATTCCAGGAACAAAATTGCGAAAGAAAGGCTTGAAAAGGGCGGGAATTGGGAGTGTAGCTGGAAGGCGTCTGAGCGCTCACTCGCGGCTAACGCGTGGCCCGTCTTCAACTCGTCGGCGGTTGGAGCGTGACTAGGTTTTTTATTTTATATGCCAATGTTCCTCTAGAGAATTTTATTGCGAACCCATTGAGACCAAAATGAAAGACCTAGGACGAAAATTGAGGTGACCAGAGTGAAAATAGTGAAAACATTTTATCGCGTTTGCGCGCTCCTGGGTAACTCGTTCACACTTTCTCTGTTTGCTGTGGGTAATTAGCCGGGCTTTTGGAGTTTATATGCATTTAGTGCTGTAGAGAATTCTATTGCGAACACAATGATACCAAATTTAATCTCGTAGGACGAGAATTAAGGTGACAAAGTTGGAGAGTATACACTTTTCAGAATTTACGCACGATCCCGTGACACCCTGGGACCCAAATCGCACAGTTGAGGGGTGGCGGGCGGGGTACGCCAAAGTGTTAAGATATGGGCACCATACAACCGCTGCATATTTCAGCTTTGCTCTTAACAAGTCGTGAACAATTTCTTTAATATTTTGCCATCCAGGAATTTAAAAGCAATTCCGAAGTTAGAAAATGTAGCATAGGCCCCTCACACAATGTTCTCTTATGTGGTTATGTGGTCCTCAGGTGACAGAAAATGATCTAGAACCACCCCCTAGATCTTTTTCTTTATCAGAATTCTTTAAAGATGTCTCACATAATTTATAGGTTGTGTGGGGTCTATGTTCTCCTATTCCACATTCCATAATATGGCATTTATTTACATTAAATTCCATTTGCCAAGTGGTGCTCCATATACTTATTTTGTCCAGGTCGTCTTGAAGGGCATGACAATCATCTAAGTTACTTATCTTCCCTGTTATCTTAGCATCATCGACAAACATGTTTATATAATTCTGCATTCCATCTGGTAGATCATTTATGTAGACAATGAACATTACTAGTTTAAGAACTGAACCCTGTGGTGGTACTCTTGTGACATTTCTCCAGTCCGATACATTGCCTCTGATTACTGCCCTCATTTTTCTATTTTATCAGTTAGAAAATTTTCCATCCATGTTAGAAGCTTACCTGTCACCACTCCAATATGTTCCAGTTTCTAGAATAATCTCTTAAGTGAAACTTTGTCAAAAGTCTTTTTAGGTCCAAATAGATGCAGTCAACCCAACCATCTCTTTCCTGTAAAATTTCTTTGGCTCGATCATAAAAACTGAGTAAATTCGTTACAAAGGAGCTTCTAGATCAAAATCCATACTGACAGTCTGATATTAAATTGTTTTTCTTAAGGTGTTCTACCCATTTAGCTTTAATTATTTTTTCCAATATTTTGACAATTACACTTGTTCGCGATACAGGTCTATAATTGAGGGGGTCTTCCTTGCCACTACATTTGTAGATTGGAACTATGTTAGCCTTTTTCCACACATCTACTATGATTCTTGTACACAGAGATGCCTCAAAAATCAGTTGAAGTGGAATGCTGAGCTCGGGTGCACATTCTCTTAGAACCCATGGTGAAACTCCATCTGGACAAACTTCATTTTTCTTACTTAGCTCCTTGAGCAGTTTTTCCACTGTGTCTTTAGCCCTTAAACCGTGCAATACATACATTTACGACTGACGGTCTAGCACACGATTTAAAATGCCCTGCGAGGGATAGGGGAAGGTATAGTCCAGCCAAGGCCGATAGTAAACAAACGCGATCTTAAAAAAAAAATCATGGGTAACATATCCGGATGTGAGAGCCTCAGTACTGAATGAGCAACCAAGGCTGGTGCACACAGCATGAGCTAACAGCTTGTTAGCTCATCACCAGCAGTGCTGGTGATAATAAACTCTGATGCTTTCTTTCCTTTTAAATTTAGACTCTGAAGAGAGCCAACCTAAAATCTCCCTAAAACACTTAATTCATTGACCATATTTTACTTCAAGCATTTATAATATTCCCAAGCAATGCTTGAAGTATGTGTCAAAGAGATATAAACAGTATTAATAAAATTCTGGTGATAGGTCTTCTGGTAACTGCAAGGTGATAGAATGCATGCTATATTTCCAAAGAATTAAACAAAATAAAAATAAAAAACTTGAGGATAGGCCTTCAAGATTTTCAAGGGACCCCCCTAACAATATCTATTGGACACTCTTGAGATCTTAATCCACCAATATACTGCACATCAAAATAACAACAATAGATTCAACATACCTATAATTCTCTCCATGAGTGTGTGTTCAAGCCCTTTTGCTGCAGCCTCAGTTGATATAATGGTTGGAGGAAGCTGACAATGGTCTCCTGCAATGATCAGCTTTGGTGCACGCAGAAGTGACAGGTAGCATGCAGCCTCGATTGCCTGGACAATAGCATAATTATTCGTAATATTATATTGGAATTAAAACATTGTTACTTTTGTAATACCATAAAACATTTAAGTGAATAAAATAAGTTTTCTTACTGGTCAGAAACCGGGCTGTGGGGACATTGATCCTGAATCACTACAAAGTAGCAAAGTACAGATATGCAATTTCATACCTTCACTATTTTTATACTAGTTACATGGTTTTTTTTACACCACCATTTGTTTTCCTTATATAATACAAATGACAGTTGTTGCATCTGTAAGGCATCCTATGCCATAAAAAGAAATTAGAACATTAGGAGCAAAAGGTTAATACTGTATTGTGCTCTGCAAATTCCACTGTATGGCATTAAAATAGCAATATCACCAGTCAAGCTTACTACAGTATATGAAATAACACACATTCCTTTTTTAATCCCTTTAACCGAACAATTCTAGCTTCACTTCCTTTTTTTTTTTTTTTTAATTTTGCATATTATTAGCATTATTATTTATGTTAAAATAAACCCAGAGGGTCTAGACCAAATAGAGACCACATAAATAGGAAAATGAAACAAGATCTCAAAGCCACTCTCTGCCAAATCCTCAAGATTCCTCTATACCACTATAGTATACACACCTAACCCACACATCTGCAAAGGACAAGAATTGTCGTTGCCAATTCTTTATTTTCAGATTTGTGGGTTGGGTGTCTAATCTTCAGCCACGTTAATGTGATGCGTAATGTGCACTATAGTATAATTAATCATCAGGCATCCAATTTAATAAACTACTGTAGTTTACATTTTATTCCTATTGTAGACATACATCCTGCATCCACTACCTAACTCTCCTTGTCAACCACATATTTATTTATGTTCATCTCCTCTGTTAATTGTGCTTTACCACAGCATTTTCCAAACACTGTATCTGGTATAGCTTTCCTCCAATTTTTCTCATCCATTTTTAGGAAAATCATTGGAACAGGAAGTAGACTGTACTCAGCAACAGATGAATCATGGACAAAAAAACACCTGAGATTTTCCTTTAATGTAATTAAAATTACAAGGTTTAGTAATGAGGTGCTGCTCTTGGCTGTCCTCAGCTTATGGCACTGGTACTGTATGGGCACATTCAACACACCATGCTCCTGTGATAATCTCCACTCACTGGTGACAAGTACCATTCCAATGACTCTGTCTTGACTCATCAAGGGTGAGGGAGCATGTCAAGATCATAGATACACACACTTTACTAAGGCAAACTGCCCACAATCATAAGTGTGTTTTTTTACTATACCCTCATGAAAATATAAATTCCTTTGTTATATACGACAATTTGGCTCTTGCTTTGGGGTTACATTGCCTGGCAGTGCTAGGGATGACAATGTGAGTTACTGCTGAGGGTGCTGCTTTCTGCTCTATCATAGTGGGAGGGTCACTAGGTAATAGCTTAAGTTAAACTCGTGTCTCCCTTATCCATCTTTACCTCTGATGAGACCATATGCAAAGCTCATTGTACCTGGACCTGGATTGCATCTGGATGGGGTTCTAGGAGTTTTTCTACTCCCTAATCCTGGCTCAGGACGAGGCTTGACTTGTGAGACCTTGGTCCAACAGGCTAATGCTTGGAGCGGCCTGCAGGCCCACATATCCACCACAGCCCGGTTGGCCCGGCATTTCCTGAAGACGTCCACGATTCTTCCAGCCATATTTCTTATGCTCGCAGGGTGTATATTGAACAACTGTGGACCTCTGATGATCATACAGTGTTCTCTGATTATGCTTATGGCACTTCTACTTTTCACTAGTTCTATTCTGCATTTCTTTCCATATCGTTCACTCCAGTTTGTTGTTATGTTACAGTATAGATTTGGGACCTGGCCCTCCAGTATTTTCCATATGTATATTTAGACACTGTCAGGCTTGGGTGGAGTAAAGTCACAAGAGCCTAGCATAGTGACATTGTTCTGGAGGTCTAAACTGTTACTGGCTCAGGGAAGACTTGACGAGCCTCAGCTTACAAGTGGAGATGTATACATATACTGTACAAGAATTTCATAATACAGTGGTACCTTGGAATACAAGTGTCCCTGAATACGAGTTTTTCGGAATACGAGTGTCCCTGAATACGAGTTTTTCGGAATACGAGCAGGATTTGCTCAGAAAATTTACGTCGGAATACGAGCGTTGCCTTGGAAGACGAGGGTGTTGACATGCGTACAGGCCGACCTAGCACGTGGTGACACATTGATCACCCCTCAGTTTACCAGTGACTTACGCCCAGTGACTATCCCGCCTGAATTCTTCATCAGAATTTACAGTGTTTTGTTGGATTTTTGGCCATTTGATCATAAAAGTTGTTATTATATATCTCACCATGGGTCCCAAGAAAGCCAGTGATAAGGATCAAGGCAAGAAATTGCTTGTGAGGATGACAATAGAGGAAAAACAAGAGATCATTCGGAAGCATGAAAATGGTACACGTGATGTTGAACTTTGTAGGCAGTACAACAAAGCCACGTCAACGATATGCATTATAATTGCCAAGAAAAAGAACGTTATGAGTGCTAAAGTGGCAAAAGGTGTAAGCACAATCAGGAAACAAAGACCACAAATACTTGAAGTGGAAAAGTTGTTATTAATTTGGATACATGACAAGGAGTTAAAGGGTGATAGTGTTTCAGAGGTCATCATCTGTGAGAAAGCCAGGGTATTTCACGAAGACCTTGTAAAGAAAAACCCCTGGAACGAGTGCAGATACGACAGACTTTAAGGCAAGCGGGGGAAGATTTGAAAATTTTTGAAAAAGAAGTGGTATTCATAATGCTGCGAGACGTGGGGAGGCTGCCAGCTCAGACAAACCAGCGGCTGAAAGATTTATTGAAGAATTTAAGAGAGTTTGCAGAGGCTGAAGGATACCTACCGCAACAAGTGTTTAATTATGACGAGACAGGACTGTTCTGGAAAAGATTGCCTAAGAGGTCATTACATTAATACATTACCAAGGATGAAAAATCATTGCCCAGACACAAGACTATGAAAGATAAGTTTACGCTTGTGCTGTGTTCAAACGCGAGTGGCGATTTGAAAATTAAACCCTTGCTTGTGTATCATTCTGAAAATCCAAGTTTTTTCAAACAGTATAAAGTGCAGAAAAACCAAATGTGTGTGATGTGGAGGGCTAATAATAAGGCATGGGTGACTAGGATTTTTTTTTTTTTTTGGAGTGGGTAAATGAAGTGGTGTGTCCTGCCATAGAAAAATATCTGCAGGAGAAACATTTGCCACTCTGCTTCTCCTCGACAATGCTCCTGCTCATCCTCCAGGCTTGGAAGATGAATTGTTGCATAGATACAGTAATTTTCTCACAGTAAAGTTCCTTCCTCATAACACCACTCCTCCAATTCGGCGTATGGACCAGAAAATCATAGCAAATTTTAAAAAACTTTATGAAAGGGCACTTTTCCGGAAATGTTTTGAAGTGATTGAAGCCTAGTGATTGGCTCACCCTCAAAGAGTTCTGAAAACACCATTTTATTAACATTTGTAGTGCTTTAAAACTCATTGACAAAGCCTGGCAAGAAGTGACTCAAAGAACCCTGATCTCTGACTGGAGAAAATTGTGGCCTGAATGTGTGACAGAACTAGACTTTGAGGGGTTTGAGCCTGGAAATTATGTGCCTATTGTTGAGGAAATTGTTACTCTAGGCCAGCAAATGGGCTTGGAATTGGATGGTGATGATGTGGAGGAGTTGGTGGAAGAACACAATGAAGAACTGACCACCGAAGAACTCCAAGCCCTTCAAAAGGAACAGCAAGAAGATACATCTGAGGATGTTCCTCCAGTGGAGGAGGATGAGGCAGCAGCGAATGTCCCTTCCGCAACCATTAAGAAGTGGTGTCAGATGTGGGAAGAAATGCAAACTTTTATTGAAACGACTCGCCCAGAGAAAGCTGTAGTAGGTCATTGCATTAATCTTTTCAATGACAATGTGATGCCTCACTACAGAGACATCTTGTGAAGAAGGGAAAAACAATCATCAATGGACCGCTTTGTTGTGAGAACATCGAGCAGTGAGCCACAACCAGGACCTAATGGTATGCAGGCAAAACGTGCCAGAGAATGTACTCCAGAGAGGTCCTCACTGCCTGATGTTATAATGGAAGGGGACTCCCCTTCCAAACAATAACACCTCTCCTCCTCCTCCTCCTCACCATCTTCCATACCCCAACAGCAGTCATCAGTAAGGGTAAGTAATAACTTGAACATACTTTGGTAGTGTAGATTTAGATGAATTAGGTATAAAATTTAGTTTGAAGCGAGGTTTTTACGTAGTCAGGAACAGATTAATTCATTTCCCATCATTTCTTATGGAGAAATTAACTTCGGTTTACGAGTTTTCGGAATACAAGCTGTCTCCAGGAATGGATTAAACTCTTAAACTGAGGTACCCCTGTATGCATACTATGGGCTTCAGAGAAATGGTGACGAATACTAGAACTTCATTACATTCACAACTACAGTATGTACAGACTATTATCTGTAACACCACACAAGTCTAAATGCTGTACTGAGGTGACAAAACTTATGAGTCGAGTGATATCTGCAAAACATTCTAAATACTGTACTAGAACACAAGAATGAAGGTAACTACAGAAGGCCTATTAGCCCATATGAGACATCTAGTATCTAGTCACAGCTACAATATTTTCTACTAAACTGGTAAAATCCACAACTGGATGTTAATTAAGAAAGCCACTCTCTGCTGGGCCCCTCAGTACCTCCCAATGCTACCTCAAGGAGCTACTGAGAGGCTCTCTCAGAAATAACACTAAATGATTGGAACATCTTGAGGTCATCTCGAGATGATTTCGGGGCTTTAGTGTCCCCGTGACCCGGTCCTCGACCAGACCTCCACTCCCCAGGAAGCAGCCCGTGACAGCTGACTAACACCCAGGTACCTATTTTACTGCTAGGTAACAGGGGCATAGGGTGAAAGAAACTTTGCCCATTGTTTCTCGCCGGCGCCCGGGATCGAACCCGGGACCACAGGATCACAAGTCCGGCGTGCTGTCCGCTCGGCCGTCCGGCTCCCCTTTGATGCACATTGATGCAACTACAGTATATCTATTTAGTGCAGGCACTAATATTTTCCTGCTGCAAAGATGTACTTCAATTCTACTGAATGTTACTCAAGTTAGACATTATCCAATCTGTCCTCTTGAATAGTATACAGTACTGCATTTTGACATATAAATCCCCCAACGGCTAAATTATAATGACAAAATAAATTGACCAGCTGAAATATAAAATGACAAGTTGTCACATTTTCTATGTGTGGGCCCTCGGTTATGTTAGATTCTGGTTAATTTAGTACATCATTGTTGATAACTTGAGAGGACAGACTGCATTATCTATGGCTTCATCTAAATACAACAAGCATGACTGTTTTCTCATCTGAATCCAGTCCCAAAGCTGCAACTGATTTAATATAACCTACATAATAAAGTCAAGTCTCTGGTTCAAATAATAACAAATAACAATGCTTAACCACATTAAAACAAAACAAAAGACATAATACCTGTGAGCACTCGTCAATAACTACCACATCAAAGTGTTGCTGAGGCAGGTGCCTTAGAGGGCCATCATTACTGCTGCTGGTCAGAGTGGCAAGAATCACATCACAACTTAACAGCACTTGCTGGACCAGTCGACTCTCTCTGTTAGAAAAGAAAACAGTGCAGAATGTAATGAAATCAAAGTTTCTGGATGAGAATAGACAAGTACCTAATAGAACTCCACAACTGATGGCACCTAGTATTAGCATAGTATCTTCATGGAGCGATACTAGGCTGATACTAGGTGCCATCAGTCGAGGAGTTCTATTAGTCCTACGAGGGAAAATGAGCTCCTTGGTCCCCCCTCTGGAGAGGCGCAGGAAGCAGTGGCACTTATGATAACATTTCTATGAATTTATTCATATCTGTCATCATCGAGGAAGCCATTCAGAAAATCAGTGAAACAAAACAAACCACTGTCAATTATATATGAGACTGCAGTCTAAAGAACCACCAAAAGAACTCCCCAACAATATAAATAAACAATAAAAAATTCACAAAACTAGTGCAAGCTAGTTTGCCCCCACCTTTTCCCCTAATTTTGGGAAGAAGGAGGGAGACAGCTCAGGTCAGTCAGCTGCTTCAGTAACAGATCAATCTTTTGATGATGACATCCCTCCCCTTCCTCCCCAATAACCTGTAAGAAGGGAGGGTGAATGCACCCACCGGGGCTCGCCCAGAAATTGAGGATTTCATTCTGGTTTTCTGGGGGGAGCCCCTTGTAGCTCCCTGAAGCTAACAACCCACTCAGAAGGAACAAATGGGCACCAGGAAGGAAGGAGCTCTGCAGAAAGCAAGATAAAAAAAACCAGCGTTGAATGTAATGACACGCCATTTTCTGGGTGAGACCCGGAGGCTCCCCGGAGCTTTACCGGCTGATATGCTAATGTCAGACTTTGGCATCAGTCATGTGTATGGAGTTCTAGGGCCTACCGGGGACCACGAGCCAGAACCTGGCCCCCTCAGAGAGGCAAGGGGAGCAATGGCCTATAGAAACCCCCGTGTGGTTGGAAGCATTCTATGTCTGCCATCGACCGGGTCAAGCATCCAGAAAGGTAAGCATTCCAAAACAAACCCCTATTCTGGTGAAAATTGCTACCTAAGCCGAACTAGTGAATAGAACTCTTCAACAGAAAACACGGAAACTAGTATGACGTCATACGTCACCGCGCCGCTGTCTGCGCAGCTCCCCCCTCCCCGGGAGGGGAAGGGGGAGCCCCAGACCTCCCACGCCGGCTATCCACCCATCAGTTCTGAGGCTGGATGTCAAAACACGCGAAAAACGCCGACCGGAGGGAGGGAGGGTTGCCGGGGAGCCTCCGGGTCTCACCCAGAAAATGGCGTGTCATTACATTCAACGCTGGTTTTCTGGGGGGAGCCCCGTCGGCTCCCCGGAGCTAACTACCCACAGAGGAAGGTCAAAGGGACAAAACCGGGAGGCGGACACCACGCACCCCCCAAGGAGGCGAGACAACCGGCAGCAAACTCCAACCCAAGGCGCCACAGCCCCGAAAATCCCGGGAACAACACGAGAACCACGAGCAGCAAGGCCCCTGCACGAACACCAAAAATCCATGCCCGAAAGACTGCAAGGCCACGTCGCCCAGACGGCAGCGAAAGCAGCGAAGCCACGAACGCCACAGGCATGAGGGAAGAACACAGGCAGCTTAGCCGCAAGAACACGGCTGACCACCCGGGACACCATCACCCGTGAACCGGGAAGAACAGAACCGGAACGCAAAACGCGCTCCGGACCCAAACGCCGTGGCACGCAAACAACAGCAGAGGGCCGCCACTGAACACAAAAACGACACACCCCCGGCCCGACTAACAAAGCACCAACAAACCCTGGACCCCTCCAGAATGCAGCAGCCCCACCCCGCGCCAGAAAAGATGGAGACTGCTGCCATCAAACAACCAAAACGCTAAAACCGAAGGAGCAAGAAAACACAGCGAACCGACACCCAGAGGCAAAGGCCCAAAGGAAAGAGCCGACGAAAAAAAACACACCGGAACCGAAGGGGCACTACCAACCGAGGAGAAGACAGAGCACGCTGACCAGAGACCAGGATGGTGCAAGCGGCGCACGAACAGGCCGGAGGTGAAATGACGCACAAGACAGCTGACTAACGGTGCAGAAGCAACACCAAGACCGAAAGCAAGCTGAAGCGGCTCCGCCTGCGCCGCACGAAAAGAGGCGACAGTATGTGGCAAGACGACGGCCCCCAACCCCCACTAGAAAACCAAGCCGAGAGTAAACCAAGCCAACAAGAAGGACCCACCGAAGAAGGGACAGGAAAAGGAAGGACCGCCAAAATACCCCATACTGCCGCCAAGAAGCACGCAGGTGGGACACCTACCACGAAGCCACCCGACCACCAACCGGAGGCGAGACCACGAGGCAGAACATAAGCAGCCCCGACAAGGCCCCCCCGAGCCCAGGAAAAAGGCGGAGCCGCGAGAAGATCTCGGGCGCGACCACCGAAACCCAGGTATATAAACAAAAGAAAAAGAAAACCCCGCAAGAGGACAGCGTACCCAAGCGGAACAGAGCCGGCCGCTATGATTGGTAAAGACAAGCTGCACAGTACCCCGCGCCCCACCAGTGCAAACACTGCCCCTTACTCTAAGGCGAACAAGGGAGACAGAACACCCGAGCACACAAAGAGCGGCCGAAAACCAAGCGGTAAACGGCCAAGCAGGGGCAGGACCCAAAGAACTTGTGGAAGGTGGCCCCAAGCCCCAAGGGCAGTACTTACAGGGCACCTAGGGAAGGGAACCCTAGGCGCATGCAGCCCGAGTACTGAAGAATCACACCCGGCTCACGCACCACCTAGAAAACAGACACCACACTCTAGGTACAGTGCTGAAACAACCACTGGAGCCGGAGCAAACAGCGTTGAATGTAATGAAACGCCATTTTTGTAGGCAAGTTCTGGAGGCTCTCTGGAGCTTATCGTACTAATGTATTTTATATTAGACCGGGACATTAGCTATGGAGTTCAAACCTACCAGGGACCAGTACCAGAACCTAGCCCCTTCAGAGAGGTTTCAGGGAGCAATGGCCCTGGGAAAACCCCATTGTGGTTGGGGTTTTTCCTTATCGGCCATCAACCGGGGTTAGGCACCCAGAAAGGTAGGCATAACAAAACAAACCCCAGATAGTAAGAAACTAAAACAAAAAAACGAACAGAGAGGAAGAAACTCCCTGCAATCCCAAGGAAACAAGCAAACAAGCAATTATCACAATTTACTGCCGCGCCGATCGTCCGCGCAGCCCTCCCCTCCCCGAGAGGAGGAGGGGGGGCCCCCGGACCTCACTGCGCTGGCTGCCTTCAGTTTGGAAACTAGGCTTCAATCAACACGAAAAAAAAAAGCCGATCGGATGGGAAGGAGGGTAGCCAGGGAGCCTCCGGGGCTCACGCAGAAAATGGCGTTTCATTACATTCAACGCTGGTTTTCTGTGGGGAGCCCCTACGGCTCCCTGGAGCTACATACCCAAAGAGAAGGAAAATAGGGACTTATCCGGGAGGCGGCGGCCACAAACTCCTCAACGTGAAGTCGAGACAACTGGCTGCAACCTGCGACCCAAAGCAACACAAGAACGCCGAGGAGCAGGTACGTTTACCAAATAACGGCCAGCCAGGACCCTGTTCAACTTCAACACTCCAACACTCCAATGCACTGGGGTTGGTTCCATATTGTGCGTTGAATAGAGGTTGTACCGTACCTCCATTGCCACCCCGGAAGGGGGCAACCCCCAAAACTGCCCGAGTCTCAGAATCCTCTAAACCTCGACCCGACCCCAAAGCCCTCAGACGCTTCAGAGTCAGAAGCAAGGGGAAGGAAGGACCAGAATGAACAGCAACAGGAGAAGGATGAGGGAGTGCAGACTGAACCAAGGCTGAAGAGACCAACACCCCCATGTCTGGGATGCTATAAACAAAGCTGGGCAGCCTCGGTGCATCCAGGGAAGCAACCAGCCTAGCACATTGCAGTAACCTAGCATGCAACACCTGAGCCACCTGCACCCAGATAATATCATCAGTCGATTGGGTGAATTGAGTCACAAATTAGTAACAATGCTCGCATGACTCAGGGTTGAAGGTTTTCCAGGACCCTGAGACTTAACGCTAAGGGTAAGCCCAGGCAGGATACCGCTAACCGGTGCCCAAATCTACCAATCAAACTGTTAAAAACTGAACCTTCGGGATGTGTCCACTCACGGGGGCCAAGCAGAGGGTACCACCAAAACACAGGTGGTAAAAACACTAATATAACAAGGAGGAAAGGGGAACAAAAGCAGACCCCCTCAGGGTAGAAACAAAAATGAAAAGAAAACCCCCACAAAAGGACAACATACCCAGGAGGAACAGAGCCAGCCACTACAGTAGGTGATAACTAGCTGTGCAGTACCCTGCACCCCTACCAGCACAAAACAGCCACTTACCCCAAGATAAACCCCCAACACTCCCAGGGCAGTCAATGACTGAGTAGCAAAAGACGAACAGAGGTGACTTGTGGAAGATAACCCCAAGCCCCAAGGGTGCTACTTACAAGACACTCAGGGAAGGGAACCCTAAGGACATGCAGCCCAAGTACCTGTGAAAATTACTCCCAGCTCGCACACCACCATAAGAGATGTACTGGACACAAGGCACAGCACAACACTGAGAGAATCAGGAGCTGGAGCAACACGACCGAGCCTCAAACACATCAGCCGAGAACTGGGATGTGGAGCTGGGCAGACAAGGGAGGGGGAGCTGCGCAGACAAGAGAGGGGGGAGCTGCGCAGACAAGGGAGGGGGGAGCTGCGCAGACAAGGGAGGGGGGAGCTGCGCAGACAAGGGAGGGGGGAGCTGAGCAGACAAGGGAGGGGGGAGCTGCGCAGACAAGGGAGGGGGGAGCTGCGCAGACAAGGGAGGGGGAGCTGCACAGACAAGCAGTGCGGCACGTGTGACGTCATGCTCATTTGCTCGTTTTCATTTGGGGAGTTCTGTCCATTTGTTAGTTTTCAGTAGTAGTTTTAACCTGAATAGGGGTTTGTTTTGGAGCGGCTACCTTTCTGGGGTGCCTGGCCCGGTCGATGTCAGACATAGAATGCTCCAAATTCTAAGTAGGCCAGATAGCACTTCTATAGGCCATTGCTTCTAGCACCTCTCTGAGAGGGCCAGGTTCTGGCTCGTGGTCCCCGGTAGGCCTAGAACTCCAATCACACTGATGCCAAAGTCTAATAATATATATATTAGCCTGGATAGGTCCAGGGAGCCGAAGTGGCTTCCCCCCCAAAAAAATTTATAAAGTTTTATTTTTTAAACAGAGTGGTAGACAGTTGGAACAAGCTATGTGAGAAGGTGGTGGAGACCAAAACTCTCAGTAGTTTCAAAGCGTTAATTGACAGGGTACTGGGAAGATGGGACACCACTGTAGCGTAACTCTCATCCTGTAACTATACTAAGGAAATTACACCTGTTTATGTGGTAGCTTATACCGTGCATTTAATGTGACAGATCATGCTTCAAGTTTAATGTGATAGCTCACACCTTGTGTTTAATGTGATAGCTCACACCTTGTGTTAAATGTGATAGCTCACACACCTTGTGTTAAATGTGATAGCTCACACACCTTGTGTTAAATGTGATAGCTCACACACCTTGTGTTAAATGTGATAGCTCACACACCTTGTGTTAAATGTGATAGCTCACACACCTTGTGTTAAATGTGATAGCTCACACACCTTGTGTTAAATGTGATAGCTCACACACCTTGTGTTAAATGTGATAGCTCACACACCTTGTGTTAAATGTGATAGCTCACACACCTTGTGTTAAATGTGATAGCTCACACACCTTGTGTTAAATGTGATAGCTCACACACCTTGTGTTAAATGTGATAGCTCACACACCTTGTGTTAAATGTGATAGCTCACACACCTTGTGTTAAATGTGATAGCTCACACACCTTGTGTTAAATGTGATAGCTCACACACCTTGTGTTAAATGTGATAGCTCACACACCTTGTGTTAAATGTGATAGCTCACACACCTTGTGTTAAATGTGATAGCTCACACACCTTGTGTTAAATGTGATAGCTCACACACCTTGTGTTAAATGTGATAGCTCACACACCTTGTGTTAAATGTGATAGCTCACACACCTTGTGTTAAATGTGATAGCTCACACACCTTGTGTTAAATGTGATAGCTCACACACCTTGTGTTTAATGTGATAGCTCACACACCTTGTGTTAAATGTGATAGCTCACACGCCTTGTGTTTAATGTGATAACTTACACCTTGTGTTAAATGTGATGCTAGTTCATGCCTTGTGTTAAATGTGATAGCTCATGCTTTGTGTTTATTTAATGTGATAGCTCACACATTGTGCTAGTGTAACAGATCACACCTTGTGTTTAATGTGATAAATCCCACCATATGTAATATGAGTACTCATGCCTCATATGATTGTGATTGTTCATACCATGTGTGTATTGTGATAGCTCACTCTTCAAATGAATGTGATAGTTCACACCAAGTGATTGTGACTGCTCACACATCAAGTGCCTGTAATGTATGGATCTCTTTGTAATAATGAATATTTTGAATACTTCTCAATTTATTTAACACTCCTTCCCCTCCCCCCAAACACAAGGGAGCCGGTAGCTGAGCAGACAGAACACTGGATGCGTGATCCTGTGGTCCCGGGTGCGATCCCGGGCGCTGGCGAGAAACAATGGGCAGAGTTTCTTTCACCCTGATGCTCCTGTTACCTAGCAGTAAATAGGCACTTGGGAGTTGGCTGTCACGGGCTGCTTCCTGGGGGTGGAGGCCTGGTCGAGGACCGGGCCGCGGGGATACTTAGCCCCGAAATTATCTCAAGATATCTCAAGATAAGCTCCTAGTTCCTCACCACTTTGGCTGTCAACCAGCCTGGTTGACCAGTCCAGCAACAAGGAGGCCTGGTCGACGACCAGGCCGCAGGGTCGCTAAGCTTCGAGATCACCTCAAGGTAACCTCAAGGTAACCTCAAGGTAGGCCATGGGACAGTCTTGTGAGGGCCGTCAGGTCAGTCAGTGCTATTCGTAACAATATTTCCAAGACACACAATATTTAAAGAAAATTTTGGAGTGGTTACAGTGTTTCAATTATATGATGAGATGTACAATATTACAAATAGACATGGGGTTTATAAAATAATTAAATATCTGAACACTGCAGTACAGTAAATGCTTAACCACTGGATTGCACAGCTATTTACAAGTACAACATTGAGGTATGCATTGCTAGAAACACTACAGTTAACAAATCAAATGGGAAAAATCAACCTAGTGATTGGAGCACAAAAGGAAACAGATAGTGACTGGAGCAGTGCAAGGTTAAATCATTACTGGGTTGTTTCTTTTATCTCCATATATAATATTTATAAATATAATAAACAGAACTAATCTTGCCCATTACCTTTCACGAAGCTCCTTTCTAAATGTTTTTATTTCACTTCGAAGACGAAACCTTTTGCCTTTATCTCTTGCTTTTTTCAGCTGTCCCAGATGATCACTTATGTCACGGCGAATATCTTCCAAAATTTGAGATTCTTCACTGAAAAGTATAAAAGTAAACTGACAATACTATACTGTTTCTTAATTAAAGATACAAGTTCACAGATATGGAAATAGTGAAGATCTCCTCTCATTCAACTGTAGTTAAAAATAAACATAGCTTTAAATAAATATAAATCTTAAATCCATCTGAGAGTCAAAACCTGTACAAAAACATACCAAGTGAAGAAGTCGGTTGCTAAATTGGCAATAAAACAAACATGTACAGTTGACCCATACCTATCAGTGACTATGGGGGCGTGAGATCTAGCCCTTTATGCCTCGCTTCTGAGTCATATATATCTGGCACAATAATTACTTCTCTTAACGTTAATGTTTTCCTCATTTATTTTTAAAGTTGTGAATGGAATTGGCTACAACAAACTCCTCCAACTCCAATGCATTTTGCCAGCCAACTACCCATACAGGTAATTAGCACCACCTTACATCTATGACTCAACTGCATGTTCAGCTCCCACTTGTGTCCCCTTGTCATAGCTTGCTTTTTTTTTTTTTTTAATAGGCTTCCTTTATCCACTTTACCTTATATGAAGTTATCATATCCCCCCTCTCATTTTTTTCTCTCCTATGAGGTTGTAAGGCCGAGTTCTCTCAACCTGTCTTCATAGCCGGCATTGCAAGTCAGGCACTAATCTAGCTGGTAACCCTCAGAACTTCAAGTTTCTGTTTCTGCTTCATAAGATGTGGGTTCCATGCTGGAGCTGTATACTCAAGTAATGTTCTCACATAGTCAGTGTATATTGACTTGAAAGCTTCCTTGTTTAGATTCTTGAATGTTCTTATGTTTGCTACCTTCCCATATGCTGTTGTTGTTATCCTGTTCACATGTGCTTCAGGTGTTAGTGTTGGGATTATGTCTATTCTCAGGTCTTATTCCCTTAATGTATAAATAGAGGTCTACTGTTTCCCTTACCCATTCTGATTACTTTGTACTTATTTGGATTGAATTCCAGCAGCCAATTATCTGTCCACTCATGAAGTCTGTTAGGGTCTCCTTGCACCCTTGCACCCTTCAGTCCTATTCAGTTCTTACTCTCCTCATTAAATATACATCATCTGCAAACAGTTCTATTCAGTTCTATTTACTCTCCTCATTAACCACTGCATTGCACAACGCACCTTGAGGCTCTTGACGGGTGGTGCACAATGCGCCTCAGGGCCCTCATAGGTATAGCGCATCATTCAAAACTCCCACGGCTACAGGGGTTCACGTCAGCTTCCTCAGGGCTCTCATGAACAGATGCCATTTAAAAAAAAATAGTGGCCAACATTCCCGAGTGTGAAGGCCTCAGTACTGAGTGAGTAACCAAGGCTGGCACATGCAGCATGACCTAACAGCATTACTGTTCAGCTTGTGACCAAAGCATTGCCTAAAAATGTCCAAATATATATGTATTTGGTATTATTTAGCCATGATGGTATTATAGAAGAGATTGACTGTGATAAAGACTGTGTACACTGTTCAGATATCAGTGAGTAAATACTGTTCAAGATGTTCACAGCGCTAGCCACAGCACACTGCCATTATTTCATCAGTCTAAAATTCTTCAAACGACTTCTCATGTTCCTTTACAAAATAAACATGTGGAAAATTATTCATTTACATGATTTAGTGAACAGGATTGTGATAATAGTAGGATTGTGGTGAGAATTAGCAATGTGGGAGGAAGAATATTGTTGGTGAGTGAAGGAGGATCGAGGGAGCGTCGTCTGCTGGCGGGTGTGTGGCAGCATGTTGTTATCTGGAATCACCATATCAGCTCAGTGGTTCGCTATGGTGAACACAAATGTAGATACTTACATATAATGTAACTGAAAACTCACACCCCAGAAGTGACTCGAACCCATACTGCCAGGAGCACTCTGCTGGCGTACAGGATCCCTTAACCGCTCGACCAACACGATCGGACAAAAGAGGATGGTAGCCGCGCCGCTGTCTGTGCAGCTCCACCCTCCCCGGAAGAGGAATGGGGAAGCCTCAGACCCCAACGCCGGCAATCCACACCCCAGTTCTGAGGCAGGATGTCAAGAAAACGCGAAAACTGCCAACCGGAGGGAGGGAGGGATGCCGGGGAGCCTCCGGGTCACACCCAGAAAATGGTGTTTCATTACATTCAACGCTGGTTTTCTGGGGGAGCCCCGTCAGCTCCACGGAGGTAACTACCAACAGAGGAAAGAAGAGGGACTCATCTGGGAGGCGGTCACTGCACGCCCCTCAACTCAAAACCGAGACAACTGGCTGCAACCGTCGACCCAAGGCGACACAGGTCCAACTAGGCCCAGGAACAAGTATGAGACAACGAGGAGCCAGGACCCTATCCGACCACCAAAAACCCTGCGCCCGAATGTCAAACCAGGCCACGTTGCCAAAAACAGCGTCAAGAGCCGCGAACTTACGAACGTCACGAGCACGGGAATAGACCACAGGCTGGCTAGCCGTAAGAATCCTGCGGACGACCTGGGAAACCTGCACCTGCGAACAGGGAGATTATCTTGAGATTATCTTGAGATGATTTCGGGGCTTTAGTGTCCCCGCGGCCCGGTCTTCGACCAGGCCTCCACCCCCAGGAAGCAGCCCATGACAGCTGACTAACACCCAGGTACCTATTTACTGCTAGGTAACAGGGGCATAGGGTGAAAGAAACTCTGCCCAATGTTTCTCGCCGGCGCCTGGGATCGAACCCAGGACCACAGGATCACAAGTCCCGCGTGCTGTCCGCTCGGCCGACCAGCTCCATACAGCAGTACCAATTTCTACCATCTAATTGGTCATTATGTCTGTATTTATGATGGTCCACATAGTTACAAATCTTATAATCTAAACAGGAGGATGGGTTGGAATTTTAATTATGCCCGGTAACCATTTCATTAAAAATAGTAAAGGATTTAAGAAAAAATGCCGACTTCTATTTTCAACATATTTTAAGCAACACAGAATGGTAGACACAAAGAATCCGTCTAAAGCCTAACAAACTGCATTTGTCAGAAGGTGAACTCAATATGACATTTGCAGAAAAAAAGTCTTCATTAAAATTGCACCCTTCACCATACAAAGTATGTGATGTCTATATATTGTCCGACTCTTCTTTGAATACTAAGCTCCAAAATGAACTTCTTGACCACTTGCTAAAAGACTATTGGACTTTCCTATAAAAAGTAAGTGATACAGATTCACTTTAATAGAAATATTATGCTATCTTTTGCATATGGTTACATCACTGCCATACTAATTAACATGCTACACTTGCTCAGCCACACCTATCAAAACAACCTTGCTCTTTAGTTTAATCTTCTTAAATGCACAAAAAGTAACTTTCAAACACAGAAAAAATTAACCCCCTAGCTGCCTCTGCTGATTTCAATAATGTATGAACATTTTTAGACAAGTATTGTCAATTATAAAGCAGAACTCCAATGTTCCATGGGAAAAAGCTTAGCTTGAGCATTAGTTATGTCTCTCCTAACTCAAACAATTAATTGTGTAACACTGTACTAGTGATATAATTTTGAATAACGGAATTCATGTCATGATAGTACCGTTTTCTAATGTAATAAAATTTACTTATGAGTATATACAGTAGCCATCATGGTAAAAATGGACAAATAATAAGAGAAAATATTTTGCGTAGTGTGGTGAAATTGTGTCTTAATGAAGAATGCTTTGTTATATGGTAACTGACCCATCAAAACACGCAGCTATGGGGTTAATGAGATAAAACAACATCATTTACTAACACTAGCTACTTTCCCATTTTGTGTTTTGAGTAGTTTAAAAATCAGGTGATGAGCTTTTTTTTAACCCCTATTACCAAGTATCCCACTTACGTCAGTACTGTAATAATTTTTAGTGGTAATTAATTACTGTTTATGTCTGCAAATCTAGGTTTTATGTTTCACTAATGTGAGTCACCAAGTTCATCCTCTAAGTCATCAATTTGCTGTATTACCTCATCTTTCTTTTTCACCTTCTCTAGTTGTTCAGAAGGGAAGAAGGTAAACCGGAACAACCCAAAACGCGTCCACGGACACAGAAGCCAAAGCCCGCAAAAAACGGCAGAGAACCGCCACGGGCCACAAAACACGATACATCCCCGGCCTAACCAACCATGCATCAAAAACCCAAGGACCCCTCCAGAAAACAGCAGTCTCAATCTTTGCCAGATAAGGAGACGGCTAGAGATGAACAAACCTACCGCCCCGACCGAAGGAGCAGAAAACCAGTATAGGAGGGGCCACCATAAACCGAGGAGAAGAAAGAAAAGAGCACTCTGCCCAAAGACCCGGACAGCACAGGCGGTGCATGAGCAGGCCGGAGATGAAACAACGCACGAGACAGCTTGCAGAACAGCTTAGAAGTAACATCAATACCGAACGCAAGTTAAGCGGCTCCGCCAGCGCCGTCTTATATGAAGCAACAGCATGCGGCAAAATGACGGCCCCGAACCCCCACAAGAGGAACAAGACAACGCCAACAAAACACAGCCACCTAAGAAGGGACAGAGGAGAAATCAAGATGAGAAAAGACAGAGGAGAAAAGAAAGGACCGCCAAAAACCCCCACACTGCTGCCAAGAAGAAGCATGCAGGTGGGACACTAGCAACCAAACCACCTGACCACCAACAGAAGGCGAGACTCGAGGCAGAGCCGAATGAGCCGAGGAAGAGGCGAAGCCGCAGGAAGACCCTGGGTGCGACCATCGAGCAGGCAGAGCCGTAAACCCGAACCAGCAAAGTAGGAGATGGAACGTCTGCCGTACCGAAAAACATCTCAATGCAAGCAAGCCGCCAAGAGGTTGGAGACCAAGACCCCGACAGACTCCAGAGAAGGGACACCGCGAGACTCCGAAAACGCCAACAGGCCGGGAAAGCCAAGAACCAGAATCAAAACCTGGCAATAGGAGAGTCAAAAGGCACAAACAAAACACTCAACGTGTGGGACAAAAGGAAGCTGAGGAACGAAGAAGGTAGGCAGCAAACGGGA